AATTATTTTTATAATCTTGGCATCTTTTTTCTTGCCATTCTGATTGAGTGTCCTGATTGGCTTTCCTGTCTTCTAGATAGGTCATGTGATCCTCTTCTTTATTTACTTTGTTTATTCCTTTGTTTATTCCATTTAATATACTTCTCATCTCAGATAATGTGTTCTTCATTTCAGACTGATTCCCTTTTATAATTTCCATTTCCATTTTTATGTTTTTTATCTCTTTGTTGAAGTTCTCGCTGAATTTATCTACACTTCCCAAAAGTTCATTGAGCATCTTTATAACTAGTGTTTTGAACTCTGCATCTGTTAGATTACTTAACTCCATTATATCTGAATCTCTATTCTGTTCTCTCATATAGTTTCTGCTTCTTTGTCTTCCCATGTTGGCTGCCTTTCTGTGTCTGTTTCTATGTACTAAGCAAAGCTCCTAAGTCTCCCAGTCTTATTAGTATGGATTTGTGAAGTAGGTGTCCAGTGGCATAGTCCTTAGAGGGGTTTAGCTGCAGGCCAAATTTATCCCCAGCCTATGCCCCTTCAGGGCCACCTGTTAAGATGCAGCAAGCAATCCACAGATGATGTGCTTATAGTTGCCTCAAAAAGCCACACCAGAAACTGAGGCCAGCTGTCTGCAGTGTGAGTCTAGGTGCTGCTCAGCAAGGAGCATCTGACTCACTGAGGCTATACCAGGGTGCAGCTTGGGAGGAGCTGTGAGTTGGGGGAGGCATTGTTTCGGGGAATCCTCTGGGCAGAGCGACCTGTTATGTGATGATGTCACAGCTATGGCGGCGCTGTGTCTGGCGCACTGGTAGTGGGGGAGGGCTCAGCAGGGAATAATTGATACCGCCAGCACTTCTGTACAGAGTGAGTCTCCCTTAGGCCTTTACTGTGACAATGTCTCCCTGTAAGTCTCTGGTGCCCCCTGTGTGCAGCCAAATCGGCACTGGTGCTCAGAGTGAACAGGTCCATCACCTCGAAAATCTGTGGCCCTTTTAAGAGGATTCTGCCGCTGCTGCTGCCACAGCCTCCATCTCACTCAGCCGCTCGGGACTGGGCAGCCCAGTGTCCTCGCCCCGTCCTACCTTCTGCGGTTGCAGGGTGCTTTCTTGGACTTCTCCCTAGTTATATGGCTTGCTTGTTCCTCTAGATTCCAGGCGATTTTTTCCTTGCTACTGCTCCTTGTTTCCGTCACAACTTTGATCAGAGTCTTTATCTATGCCATTTTTTTTCCCTTCATGATAAACATTTTTAAAAGTTACCAATCATGCCGTGTACAAAAATAGATTGTAATTGGATTAAAGCAAAAATAATGACTATCTGTTTTATAGATCTTTTATTTACAATGTTAAGACTCCCAGAATCATTGATTCATTTACTTTTATGAACAAAATGGAGAAAAGTTCATTCCATGACTTTTGACTAACAAAAAGAAGTTGCTGTTTTTACTTACATTTCCTAAAATTATAGTTATTAATTTGAATTATTTTTTACTTATGATGATCAACTAGCACAAATTATTAAATTTTTGAAGTCCTGGTATCTCAAAAAAGGTTTATGCAGACACCCTTTAAAAAAGACAATTTCATGGTTATTAAATCTGGAAAAAATTTTAATTTAGTAGATTTTTTTCCCTTTCCCACTTTATCTAAAAAGTTTGTTCTGAATAGAAGAGTTTAACTATTTAAAATTCTATCGTATACAATTTCATCTTAAGTGTACAAAATTCCATTTGTTATTGGAACTATAAATTGGGAAGATTTGTTTCAAAGACTCAGAATTTTATATGCTAGATTTAATGTGAAAGAGCAATGCCCACAGCAAACTAGATTTAATCAAAGTCAATAAAAGACAATAGATTTTCAGAAATCAAAATGGGGCTTATAAAAGATTTATAATAATATAACTTTGTAATAAGGAAGGGTTGAAACTAGATAATACTGAAAAAGCCATAAAAGAAAAGATTGTTTGACTGTATCTAACTCGTAGGATATATGCCAGATCTTTTTCAGATCTTTAATAAGTACTGTTAAATACATAATTTTGTTACATATGATTTTTCCCCTAAGTTGCCTCATCTATGCATGTTTTTCTGCAACCAGCTTTTCTCATATCATATCCATAAGCTATCCCTTTTTAAATGTTGCACCATATTGTGCAGTAGTATGTACCATGACTTATATAATTAATCATTCCTTCTTTCATGTACATTCAGTTTTCTTTCAGTTTCTCCTTACAATGAAGCATATATTTACAAATGCTTTTTTATATTTATGAATGATTATGTCTCTAGATTAAATTCCCAGAAAAAAACTACTAAGTCAAAAAAGTATGCACATTAAAATTTTGTTAGATACTGGTACTCTCCAAATATAAGCTGTTACCACAGTTTATACCATAATGTATGAGAGTATCATTTCTTAATATTGCCAATAGCAGATAATGTCAATATTTTAAATATTTGCTACTAACATGGGCAAAAAGAAGTTATTCACTTATAGCTTGTGTAATTATAAATAAATGAACATCACTATTTAGAGAATGCTAGAAAATTAAAGAAAAATGTGTCATTTGCTTTCAGGTCAGTGCTAACAGTTGCTTGTGAACAGACTGAAGTTCTGCTTTTTGACCCTATATCATCAAAGCACATAAAAACACTTTCTGAAGCTCATGAAGACTGTGTGAATAATATCAGGTTAGTATTATAGTGAAAAAGTGAACTTTATTAGTGTGATCCAAAATATTGTTTTGGAAGTTCATGAAAATTTGTAATGCCTTGTCTATCAGTGCTAGATGATGCACATTTGTGAATTGTGAATCTTTTCCTTTGTGAAACTTCTCTTTAATTATAAAACTTGTTAACTATTTTGGATTAGAATCTTTCTGAAATGGATTTTTCACTTCCATATGATTTTCTTTTTCTCCTTTTAATCATGGTCATTATTATGAACCTCAGCCAGTATTAAAATAGTCCTAATGCCTTTGAGCTAATGATCTGTATAGAATTATGGCATGGCAGTCCCATTACTTAGCCTGTCTCACCACCACCCCCGAAATTCAAACTATCGAAGGGAAAAAGCACATAAACACAGAGAAAGTCTTTATGCTGTGTTGGAAGCTCTTAAATTCTCAACAATATGGAAAGTAAATGACAGTTGAACAGCTTGGTGGATTAATATGCAGTCATTAAAATGATGGTCACAAAGTCTATATATCAACATGGACAAATCCTTAGGATAATATAGGTTAAAATAATAAAAATTGTACCGATATGACATGATGCAAAAGAAAAATGATTAGAAGGAAATATTTTAAAATGCTAACAGTGGATGAGTTGGAATGGATGGATTATGAGTAATTTTCTATTTTCTAAACTTTATGTAAAGAGATTATAATACTTTTATAATAATTACTTTTAATGTTGAAAAAAAAATGTGGAAATTACTTTTAGTCAAGGTGACATACTGAGTTTTAATGCAACTCCTATGTTCCAAACACAGAACAAATGATTAAATAACAAAAGATATAGCTAGGCTCTGCAACAACAATAAACATCTTTGTGGGCCAGAAACAGAACACAGACACAAAGCTAGTAGGAGGGTTTAAATCACAGGCTTACTGGGTTTCAGCCTGGTACTGACATGCAGTCACTTGTCTCCTATCAAAAATCAAAAGTACTAAAATGCTTCATGTGAGGCAGAAACCAGATCCAGAACTACTACATGAAGGCAGGATTTTGGGTGGAACGCCTGTTTCATTCATGAAAAGCTGAAGAAAGGAAGAAAAAGCTATTTACTACCCTGGGCTATAGGTTTTAGCTGGTAAAGACACAGCCTCATGAATTAATGGAGCCATTGCTAAGTTAATGATCGAATGTATATATGTGATAGCTCCAATATTATCATGAAACTGGAGGCCTTAATGTCATTAGGTCTAGTTGTGGATTAGGGGTCCAGAAGTCCAAGTGGGGGCAACTATAAAACCATTAACTAGGAAGAGAGAGAGAGAAAAAAAATTATAAACCTTTCCTACTCAAAATGAGCCTATAACCAAAATTCCAAAACTCATGAAGACATCTAACATTAATGTCATAACAAAACCAGCAGCTAGAACAGGCATTTTCTCTAGATGAAATTAATTTTATGGAGTAGTCCAACAAAGACTTTATTTTTAAAAATAAATTATTTTATTTATTTTTTTTGACTAGGTTATACATGCACGTGGTACAATATTCAAAGGTACAAAAGGGTAAACAGTGAAAAGTAAGTCTATCTCCCACCTCCGTCCCCTGGCCATCCAGTTCCCCTCCCCAGAAGTAACCACTATTACCAATTTCTTACTATCCTTTCTGAGATAGTTTGTGCATGTCCAAGCATATATAAACACACATACATACACTTTTATATAAATGGTAGCATTCTACACATACTATTATATTCCTTGGCTTTTTCACTTAATAACATATTTAGAAATCATTCCATATTAGTATCCATGGGATGATCTTATTCTTTTTAACGGCTGCATAGTATTCCATTGATTAGAGGAAACTTTAAAGCATTTTTAGGATGCTCAAAGAAACGGTAAGGGGTACTTTCCATTTAAAGAGAGCTCAAAATTTATGAAATGAAAGAGATGAAACAAAGACAGGTTAATGTAGTAAAGAACCAACTAGAATTCTTGGAAATTAAAAACGTGGTTGGTATATAAAACTCAATAGATGGGATAAATTTACCTTTTAAATATTGATGATAGAATTAATGGGTTAGGAATAGTATTAAACAATTCATCCAGAACACAGAAAAAAGATATAAATATGAAAGAGTAGTTAAAAAACAGGATTAATTGAGAAACTCCAACTATATACAAGACTTACAAAAAAAGAAGATGCAAAGATTGATGGAGAACTACTTTTTGAAAACACAGAACGCTGAGAAAATTTTTAGCATTAAAGAAGGACATGAATCCTATCAAAAATAAACTCTAGAATGTCAAGTAGGCTAAAAATAAAGATAAATCCACATCTAGACAGGTTATGGTGAAATTCTAAAATATCAAAGACAAAGAGAAAATCTTAAAAACCACGAAAGTTAGAAGTCTAATTACCTGCAGAGGTACAATAATTAAACTAATAGAAGGTTTCTCATCAGCAACAGTTGATGGTAGGAAAAAATGGGATAATATCTTAAATACTGAGGCAATATGTATCATATCCAGGTAAACTATTATTCTAGAATGAAGAACTTTAATAATTAGGTGAAGTGGTAAATGTTATTAATTATTAATAACAGAAAGATAATTTAGAGTTGTTTTTGTTGGAGGGTACATTTGAAACAAAGTTAAAACTGAAATTCTAGATTAGCACTATCCAATAGAACTGAATTCTAGTCACATATGTAATTTTAAATTTTCTAGTGGTCACATTAAAAAAGAAGAAACGTGAAGTTAATTTTTAATAATGTTTTACTTAACCCAAGATGTCTAAAATATTATTTCAACATATAATCAGTATAAAATTTATTGAAATAGTTTAATTTTTTTGATGCTAAATCTTCAAATTCCAGTGTATGTTTTACACATAGAGCACATCTCAATTCAGACCGGAGAATAACAACAAATAGGTTGTATGTATAGGGGAGCTTTGCTCAGTGGGAAGGTGTAATATGTTAAGGTCTATGTCACGTTCAGGAGGAGACAGAAATATTAAGTAATTTCAGACTCTTTTAGAACAATGTATAATTAAATATATATGATGAAAAAAACTAAACTAAAAGTAACTAAAATAATAGAAATATAGTTTATCACTTCCAAACCAGCAGAAGAGGGGGAAAAGAGAATACTGAAAACTTGATGAGTTCATTAGAAGACAGGAAAACTTAAAAAGTAAAAAAAAGAAAACAACAAAAACATACACACACACACACACACACACACACACACACACACACACAAGCAAAGGAAAGGTATAATAAATAGAAAATAAGAAGTATAAATAGTTCCAAATATATGAATAGTTCACAGTTAGTATAAATGGATCGATCTTTATTAAAAGACACAGAGACAGCAATTTGAATTTAAAAAATCATCTATATACTCTTTATAGAGATATCAAAAATAAAACTGCCCAGAAATGGGAAGAGAAAACTGATATGGATTATTATTATTGGACAAACAGAAGGCCAAGGCTTTAATAAAGATGAAATGCAACAATAGATATAAAAGGGAAAGTCTACCAAAAAGGTATATAATCATGAACTTATGTGCAACTTGAAATATACAAAGTGAAAATGGAATGATAAAGAATTACAAGTCTGTAATCATAGTGAGAGATTTTAATACAGTTCCATCCAAAACCAGTAAATCAAGCAAATAAAAATTAGGCTACAGATTTTAAAATATTCTGAACAAACTTTCTACTAAAAATATAAATGCTAGATTAAATTTTAAATTTATTTTTAAGGTATAGTCAAGCTGATAAGAAAGAAAGGAATCGTAGGCCAAAGGTGAACTAGAAGTAGTAATTCAAGGGAGTAAACAGGTATTCAGCTGCCTTTTACCATGGATGCATGGGCCAAATGCTAGTAACCTTGAGCTTCTGTTTGACATGTATGAGGAGTACAGAGAACAGGAGAGTTAATTCTAGGGCTAGTCGAAGGTGGGGAGTCTAGTAGAAAACTTGGCATAAGGTTGGGACTCCAAAGGGTTACACTTTCAGCATAAAAGTGACCTAGAAATAAACCACCTTGTTCATCTAGACTGTGACATTGGATAGAGTTGTGTCAGAAAATCTCTTCTGAATTTCTAACTACAAGCCAATTTTCATGCATGTGTGAGGTCTAAATTCATATTACCATATGGTCCAAAACTCTCCACCTAACAATTTAAAATTAGATTCAGGTTGGTAGTGCTGCCAGGTATCTACAAAGTGCAAAAATGAATACAAATCTTATCTGGAGGAGAAAACTCAGTATCATAAAGAAGTCAATTCTTCCCAAATTAGTCTATAAATTTAGTGTAGCTTTAATCAGAATATCAACAGGTTTTTCTTTTTTAACTTGATTTTAAAATTCATAATGAACAGCAAAGTGCCAAGAATATCTGAGACAATTTTGAAGAAAACTAAGATGATGAGAGTAACTCACCCCTCCTGAAATCAAATGTAATCTTAGGACAGGGATTAAATGACCAATGGAATAGAATAGAGCTTCCAGAAATTTGACATATGGCAGCAGGGATGTTATAAATCAGTATGGAGGCAGGAGAATAGAAAACAGAGAATTGGTTATGTATATGAAAAATTAAAATAAAATTAGATTTTAGTCTCATACCATAATTAAAAGTAACTGCCAGTAACATAACTATAATTATGTTATAGACATAATTATGAAAGCAAACCTTTAAAGCTTTAGAATAAATATAGAATATATTATTTTCTAAGGATGAGAAGGGATTTTTTAAGAATCAAAACACATTAGTAATTAAATATTAATAAGTTCAACTGCATTAAAATTCAGAGTAACCAAAAACAATATAACTGTGAGAAGATAAGCTATAGACTGGTGGGAGAAGATATTTTCAATGCACATAATTAAAAAAGGGTTTAGTGTCCAGAATATATGACAATTAACCCAAGAACAAAACAGGCAGAGAATCACATAAGAGAAACTTCTTATAATATTTCAAGCAACATATTGTAAA